TTGGTGTCGCTGGAGTGTCGGACAAGTATGGGAAGCGCAGTTGGGCGCGGTATCCTGCTCTGTGGACCCTCAAGCATGTTGATTCGCTGCCTAATCCTGATCCGACGGATATTGAGGCTTTGGACGAGAATCCAGTGGCTATGCGTGATGTGCAGGTCGATCAGGCTGCTGAAGCACAACGTCCAGAGATGAAGAGGCAGGCTCAGGAATGGGCGAATATCAAGCAGGATCCCAACTCTGATCTGTTTGTGTTCGTTGGTCGGTGGTCTAAGCAGAAAGGTGTTGACCTCATTGCAGACGTTATGCCATCGCTGTGAGTGCGTTTGTAGATTCTGCGGGACTCGGTTCTGATGAGACCTCTCACAGCTTGGAGAAACGCCCTTCGATACAGCTGATTTGCGTCGGACCTGTCATTGATCTTTACGGTCGGTTCGCTGCGGAGAAACTTGCTCGATTGATGGAGATGTACCCTGATCGTGTTTACTCGAAACCGGAATTCACGGCGTTACCGCCTTATCTGTTTAGTGGTGCTGATTTCGCTCTGATTCCTTCCCGTGATGAACCATTTGGATTGGTCGCTGTCGAATTCGGGAGGAAAGGTGCCCTTGGTGTTGGTAGTCGACTGGGTGGTCTTGGGTTGATGCCTGGATGGGTGAGTGCTTCGTCTTCTTGGGTGCACGATCTGACAAGATTCCTGGTAGTGGTTCCCCGTAGAATCTACCTCAACGGCCCATATGTTGTCACAGCTTTCGAAGACAATCAAGTTGGCGTTGAAATCCACAGAGGAAGAAAGAGCCATACTTCGTGCTCGGTCAGCTGTTCAGCGTTTCCCAGTCGTCGAATGGCGTCAGCGGATGGAAGACATGCACCGAAGGAGTATAAACGCAAGCCGAAGGCTAGCTGCTTCGAACGCTTGGCGGGAGGCGGACTGCGGGACTGAGCCCTCTCAGCATGTGGTTCCAGAAGCAGAAGATTGGAACCCTGTCAATCAAGGCCTACCTGTTCAACCAGACTGGGATGCCCAGAGCGCCATGTCATCCCCGAGATTGATGCCTAGTTCTCCTGGAAGCCAGATTTCAACGCCCCATGATGAGAACTTCCTGTCGGCACCGCCTCGTTTCAACTTCAACCGCGACTCTTCATATACATCGGATACTTCTGACGAGGAACACTCGCGGCATAGTTTCGCGACTAGTAGTCGGCCTGGATACAGTGACTTTTTGGAGAAAGCGAACAGGACGATTGCACAAGATCATCGACATGCGCCAGATCCTTTCTTGAGTCCGACACCCCCGAAACTGTTTGGATCCCATTCTCGAGTGGCCTCGATGGAGTCCATTGGCAGCATCGTGGAAGAAAAGAGCAACTCGCCGTTGAATAAGGCTATTGCAACGGTGCGTATCTCGAGAATTTTGGTGACCGCCATTATCTCATTCACTTTTTTTAGTTCACGGATTCTGATGGCGGCGTTGCCTCAGAGTTTGTGCAGAAGCTGCAAGCGTTGAACTCGAATAACTCCAAGGGCGAACTCTCTATCGAGAAGTACCTCGTCAAGTCTGAGGAGGCCTTCTTCGAACGTGTGAGACGAGACAAGTTGTCCAGTGCAGCCAGTTACATTTCCTCGCACCGCGAATCTATCTGGAGCATGCCTGGTACTCTTACGATCAACGAGCATTCTACAATGAACGAGCATTCCCGTCCAACATGTAACTGTACCCTTCTTGTGAAGGTGAATTGTTACTGACGCCACCCATTACAGCTCCAAGAACACCTAGCTCTCACCCATTCCAGACAGAGCCGGAATTCGACGGCAACATGGTGGTCATGAACAGAGTCCAAATTGCCATGTCTCGACAAATTGGGGGTTGGCCGGTGTATACTATCATCATTGCTCTCGGCCAGGTCAGACCTTTGATTCTTGATCCTCATCCATGAGTTCACGTTTGTTCTCAAGATGCTTGCTGCAAACAGCTATCAGATGACTTTGCTCACTGGTCAAAACTACCAGGACAACCTGCAGCTATATGTTCTCAGCGCTGTATTCTTGGCTGCATCTTTTGTTTGGTATACGATGTTCCGCTTGAAACCTTCCGTCTACGTTCTTTCTGCACCCTGGGTCTTCTATGGCATAGCATTCTTCTTGATTGGCGTTCCCTCGTTGTCATCGAAACTTCAAGGGACTCATACCATATTATCGGACATTGCCACTTGGTCATATGCTGTTGCTTCTGCTGCTGCTTTCATCTTCTTCGGTTTGAACTTTGGAGAGGAAGCGGTAAGTCATTTATTTGGGTCCTTTTGTATGCAGCTGATTTTTGTGCTTTAGGGTGCCGCCACTGAAATCTGGATACTGCGCGCTTGCATTGTGCAGGGTTCTCAACAGATCTGGGTGGCTGCCCTGTGGTTCTGGGGTAGCACACTGAATACCGCGAAGCCTGGGTCCGTTACGCCTTGGTGGATTGTCTGTATCTTATGGCCGCTCTCAATAATGTCGTTTGCGTTTGCATACTTGATGTTGTACGGACTGCCAGGTAAGTCAGATCTGAGTTCTCAACCAGGATAATACCAACTACCAAACAGAGTACTACCGACAAACTCCTCCGAAAGTTCCAAACTTCCTTAAAACTCTCTTCCGAAGGAAACTCGTTCTTTGGTTAGACTTTTCTTACTCGCGGCGAAGTTGATGATGCTAATATTCCACACAAGGTTCCTCGCATCTGAAGTCTTGCGTGATTATTGGCTCAGCGGGGTATGTTAGATCCAATGCTTTGACACTCTTATGTTCTAACATTATTGCAGCCCTACGGTCGCAACTGGAGTTTCTTGTGGAGTGTTCCGATTCCCAAGTGGGCGATCATGCTTCTCATCATCTTCTTTTTCATCGGTGTCTGGGCTTTCATGCTCTATATCCTCACGTCCTTGAGTAAGACGCACACGTGGTTGTTGCCAGTGTTCGCTGTCGGTCTTGGTGCTCCAAGATGGTGTCAGGTATTGTCTTGTCAATGTTGCATCAATCTTCAGTCGTCTAACATGTGTCGCAGACATTGTGGGGCACCTCATCTCTTGCGCTCTATATTCCATGGGCTGGCTCAGGGGGACCGTACCTCGGTCTTTCTCTGTGGCTTTGGCTCGGTGTTTTGGATGCTGTGCAAGGTGTCGGTTTGGGAATGATTCTCCTGCAGACGTTGTCAAGATTGCACGTCTGTGCCACGCTCGCTTTCGCTCAGGTCATTGGGTCCATCTGTGTCATGGCCGCCCGCGCAACTGCACCAAACCGCATCGGTCCAGGGAGCGTGTTCCCTGATGTCGGAACATGGGACTTCTCGCAAGGTCTCAAGGGCAGCCCGATGGCCTCCGCTCCATTCTGGATAGCGTTGATCTGTCAGCTTGTCATTGTACTAGGTTATTTCTGGTTCTACCGCAAAGAACAACTAGGTAAGTTATCATGCAACTTGACCGTGGAGATGCTCGATGTGGCTAATCACCGTTGCTTCAGCTCGACCATAATTATGCTATTGCTATTCACTGTCATCAATCACGCACATACTAGAACCATCACTCCATTCAAGGACTTTTGTTTTCATGGATACTTTCGTTCACTCGGATTTTTTCGCTGTTGGATTATAGGTGCCATCAAATTTTTGAACTCTGTACTCGCTCGCACATCAGATTGTCGACGGTTCGTACAACTGAAACTCACGTCACATACTCTAGCTCCAGTGCCTCGTACGAGCGCATATATGTACTTCGGATATTTTATAGACTGTGTTTTGGTGTTGTTAAAATCATACGTTGCCAGTTAGCACTACATAAACCTTGCTTGAATTTCAGTTCGCCATGACTTGCATCTCACAAGTTCTCTTAATTACAGGTGGGCCAAGTCACTTTGGTAAGGTCAAAGGAATATCAATTGAAGCATGTTATGGGCGACTCATATTTGCGCCCCATGCGATGGGAGTACTGTGGAGGTATCTCTAATAATAACGAAAGGTACACGGTATGGTAACAATACACGGTGAAATATGCGAAGATTACTTAGAACCAGCAGAGAATTCTGAAATAATGGTCAACATCATCACCTATGACTTGAATGAGACGGCGCTTACTGGTAACAGATTTGGTACCCTCAGAAATGGCATGCTTTGCCAGCTCTCCTGGCAGAATAAGGCGAACAGATGTTTGAATCTCACGCGACGAGATCGTCGACTTCTTGGAGTAAGCAGCAAGCTCTGAGGTATACTATAAGGATCTGCCTGGTTTACGACAAGTGATGGAAACATACTGGATGCCTCGGTAGCAATGCGTTCAAAGATATCGTTGACAAACGAGTTCAGGATAGCCATGGCTTTGTTTGAAATACCGGTATCAGGGTGGACCTGCTTGAGGACTTCACAACGAAATCAGCCGTGCATAATTGCTACCACAACCTATGAACGCACCCTTGTAGATGTACGAGCTGTAAGTCTCCTTGCGGACCTTTCGGCGCTTCTTCTTCTCACCCTCAACGGGAGCCTGTGGCTTAGCAGCGGTCTTCTTCGCAGCCTTTGATCCAGAGTCAGCTTTAGCTGGTGCCTTGGAGGCGGTGGATGCAGGAGCTTTGGCAGCAGTGGATGCGGGCTAAGATGGGTCCTTGAATCAACACATGAGAACTATATGAATCACGAATTAACTCACTTTAGGTGCCATTGTTTTGCTTAATTTACAAACTATACAGGTATGTAACTGTCAACGTGAGTCAGTTTGCATTTGCAGTGCGATATCGCAAATGTATACACACCAGGTAGGAGTGGCGGTAGTGGGTGGTGGTTAAGGAAAGAGTGTTGAGGGGACGCGACGTTTATATGCTGAGCCTTATGAAGGGTTTAATTCAAAGTCCGATCCCGTGAGGGACACCACGTGATTCAACGACCGCGCTTGTCACGCGTCGAGGCACGCACACCATCACACCCCACACTTGTCACGCCTCTCCTCACCGCCGCTGAGCTGCATCTTATAGGCGAATGGTAAGTGAGATCTAGTAAACTTGAACAATGCCGTTTATCATCACACCTCCAACCATTGTAGGTTCTCGAGGACGAATTTGTGCGTCACAAAGACCTATACTATGCTGATGGCAGTGTGGTCCTCTTAGCCGCCCATGCTGGGAAAACCCATGCGTTTCGAGTTCACAAGTCTGTGCTCGCATCGCACTCTAAAGTATTTGCGGATATGTTTGTGCTACCCTCTACCGCAGAGAATGAAACGTATGATGGTATAGACTCGGTACAGATGCCAGATGATGCAAAAGATCTTGAAGACCTGCTTCGAGCCCTTTACTACCCGGGGTGAGCACTGTGCTTGTATGGGCCCTCCTGGCTCTTAAGCAAAATGCTTTTAGCACCATATTATCCATGTTGGAGAATAGAAACCCTCTTGCCGCAACCAAATACAAAGGGATTCTCCTGCTATCGCAGAAATATTTCGTGCGCGTCCTGCAGAAGCTGCTCAGGGCTCGTTTCCGTGCAGACTGGCCATCCACCCTCCCTGAATGGGACAGACTCATGGAGCACTACGCCAGTCTTTCTGCATCCATAATACCGCAACATGATGCGGCCAGTCAGTTCATCGATAATCGTATGCTGGAACCTGCTTCTGCCATACGCTTGGCCAGGGAGGCCAATATCCCAGAAATTTTGCCGGCTGCGTTTTATATGTTATCTACAATCAGTCCTTTCATGGACTTTGATACCCTCCGCAGCCCGAACCCCCCTCCACTCACTGATTCTCAAGGGAATGTCCTTTTGTGGCAGCCTGGAGAACGCAGCGCCCGATGGGGGCTCTTAACACCTGATGATTGGCTTTGCCTAGCACGAGGCAGGCATTGTATGACGGACTTCGCTCAAACATTTGAGGCGCAGGAAAGCCAATGCATGTGCGACTCGCAGAATTGTATTCAACTCGACAACAAGAGAAAGTTGTTGAAGGGACCACCTCAAGATTTCTTACGTGTCTTGAAGGAGATTGGCTCCCAGAAAACACTTCAACAATATCCCTGCTACAATTCCCTGCAGGCGCTGGCGTCCCGCAGTTTGGAAACACGGTCCGTTTTGTGGGAGAACCTGGGTTACTACTTCGGTTTACCGGAGGTAGTTGATGATCAGAATGACGGTGACTCTGATGATATTGCACTTGTGGAGAGTGAGTTTATAGACGGATGAGGGGTAGATTGCACTGGGCCACTGGCCATTCCGTTTTTCTGTCCGTCGTGCACTACATACATGTTAAACAATACCCTCGCAAACATTGGTTATGGAACACAGTTGGTTGACCCTGGCAATTGATGGGGATATGCATTATTCGCCGAGTCATCAGTGATGATGACACCAAATTCAAACGATACCACTGTATGCGGCTAGATTGCTTGTCAAGTAGTTAGTATGGCATAGGTGTCACAGCCGGTTCAATGACCAAGAAGGTATCATTGAAACTATAATCATGCACTGGTCTCCTAGGTATTCCCTTCGATGTCTCGTACAAGAAACTCCGGCGCATAATGAGGATACGGGGCTAAAAAGGTGCCGAGTCCGTTGAGGACGTCTACCTGGAACTCTTCGAAGGGAACTTGCTCGCCATCCACGACGAGCGTGCCCTTCGGAGCGAGTGGCCTTGCGCGGTAAGCAGAGGCTTTGAAGTACCGGTTCTGTATACCTGGTAAGTTGTACGCACAAATGAAGAATGAGAAAATTACGGTGTTTATCCAGTACGTCCGACCTTCTTCGGCACCGTCCATGGCCCGTAAAAGAGCCCGTCGACTGGTCTTCGAACAAGGTGTCAAATGCATCAAAAGAACAAATCATAACGTACTTACTATTTCTTGTATGGAAATGTCGATAAGTCCATCATCAGCTAAAGAGACGGGAAATTGCATCAAATCCCTTAGGAGTGGGGCTCATGAGTTAATTTTTAATACAGTATACTGCTACTTACCGACTAACGAATGGCCCTTTGCCGGCGTACATCCACAGGATAGGTCTTTTAAACCGGGTCCACTCCTCATGTGAAGAGCTTGGACTATCAGGTTTCTTGTCAGCACTGTGCAAGCTAGGAACGCTAGATGGGCTGGGTGATTCGCCCGCTCGTCGTGCATGAAGAACATCCATCATGCGAGATTTGTCCTGTTCGACGACCTTCATTGATAACTCGATTGGACATGATTTGCGGGCAATGACTGAGTTAAAGGGGTCAGAAAGGTGACAGGAGAGTGCAACAATGACTGACCGGCACGGATATAGCCTATGACGAATCGGGTATCGCCCATCCATCGTAAATGTTCAGTATCAATATCGATGTCTGCCGTTATTCCGATAGTTTGTGACATGAATGATATCCGGCGAAGATTTCCTTGGGTGAAGGAAAATAGATCGGTTTTCAATGGTTGTCCTGATTCCCCATATTCAGCGTTCCTAGCGTTTAGAACGACCGGCAGAACATACCTTTGAGAACATTGAGAGCTGCTGCACAAACATCAAGCCCATCCTGCAGGCCCAGTAGATTAAGAGACATCCCGTTACCGGAGCCAGTCGGTATAGGTGCTATTGGTATACAAAATGCCTGGTCACGGTGTTCATGCTGATCTATTCCGTTGAGGACCTCGTGGATCAAACCGTCACCGGATACAACGACTAGGGCATCATATCCCAGCTTCATTTCGCGAGCAATTTCAATAGCATGACCGCCATGGGTGGTGTCTGTATGGCAATACACCAGTGAGTGTGAAGCAAGGATGCCATGAAATTATGACGTGCAAGTTACATCCAATGTACATCCAGCCGCAAGGAATATGGGTTCTACTTTGCTGACGTATGATGCTCTTGCCTTCCCCTGAGAAAGACGGTCATAAAAGGATACAAAGGAGTTTGAACAAGCTGACCTTTCCGCCATAGGGATTAACGAGCACCTTGAGATTCTTGGACGGATTTGCGCCTAATGAGCCAGATAAGTAGTAAACATACCACGCGTTATGAAGTCTGACAAACCCTGATACGCAGCAAGAAGCAGCGCCTCGCACCACTTCTTGACACGCGTGCTATCTTCGTTCTGAACTGCACCGGCTGTCGTTGCAAGGTTCAAACTGCTCTCTTTGCCCTTGCGAACCAGGTATTGTACCTCAATGACACCAGATGTAACTTTGGCATAAATGACATTGCGAAGAGGCACCTCTGTGCACTTAACTTCTCTGTCAGCGTATATGCCTGCGCAGCAAGAGGAATTGTGACCGTCGAGCTGTGTGGGTTCGATGAAGAATGACGCCTCGTTAAAACGAAGTGAAGTGGAGACACCGCGGCTGTCGATTAAAAGTTGGTTCATGGAGGTTGACGTAGATACGGTCCGTGCACGATAAGTGGTGATTTAATTGTGGGAAGGGGCGCATGTGTGTAAAGCCACCCGTGCTGCGGGAACTGAACTGTCTTATAATATCATGTCCGGCTTACTATGCATTCGACTCAAATTCCGAGCTTGGCGGTTTCACGATTCGTACTTCAGGTTTAATTTAAGGTTGATGGCGCACGGAACTCGTTGGCCGCGGTAAATATTCATTTCAGCGCCAATTGCAAATTCAGTGCACGCTACTTTGCTTACGCCTGGCTCTTGTTCAACACGATCTCATCCGGCGCTGGTCATTCAGTCCCAGTGAAAACCGGACAGTGCGGGAGCGTGTGAGAGCGTGCGAGAACGTTACACAAAGTGCCAGATCATGTAGATCTGGTTGATAGCAAATGATGAGTATTTTCTTGTGAGCGCAGCGCATGCAAATGCATGAACTTTGCACAAACTTTGCGTGAATTCTGCTTTCCTCGCACTTATTTTGCATCTGCATGAGTTCCGCAATGTTTGCATTTGCTATCTGCTGCTTGCATATGCATGTCACTGCAACATGTAAAGCTTTTCAAATCTAAAGTCCGTCTTCATGATGTCATCAACACCTCTCTTGTTCCCTTACCGTCATGTCTCCCCATACAACCGTTAACGTTAACACCGCAGGCAGCTAGTAATCCACTCGAGCCCTGGTCCTAAAACTTAAGTTTCCTCAATAGCAGCACCCTGACTCGGAGCGTTTGCCTTAGTAAGTTCTGTCAACAATATTCAAGCCAATATATCATTGAATACTATAGGACTGGGTGCATATATGCGCAATTGCTGCTATCTTTCTAGTACTCCTACGGGTCAGGCAACAATACAGGTGAGTTATTGACGTCATCCTTTTGGTACTTGATACTGCCATTGATATATGCTCCTTCAGACCTCTTCGCGATCTTCTATTCTCCAGGCGAAGGTCCAGTGCCGTTGACGTACTCCACAGAGGCATTCCCTCTCTGTATCCGTGATATCAGCATGTCCTTTGCTACTGCGACCACTTGGTTCTGGAACTTCATTCTGTCAATCACTTGGCCTTCGCTCGTCTTGGCCTTCAAACAACAAGGTGCCTTTGGCTGGTACGCAGCATGGTGCTGTATTCTCTGGGTGCTCATCTTGTGATTCGTGCTCGAGACGAAAGGCAAGACCCTGGAGGAGCTCGACCAAGTTTTTATTGAGAGTATAGCAAGACGGTCACGCGCAGCTAGACACAAAGGTACGAATATCTCAGTATTCGAGTTGAAACTCTGATTAACAAACGTTGTACCTAGACACAAAGGTACGAATCTAATATAACGTTAGACCTCGAGTCGAACGTTACGAAAATACTAACTTACATCTCAGTATTCGAGTTGAAACTGAGATGTTTGGATGCGGGTACCTGGGCTTATAAGGTGAGTCTCCCAGGTACAGTCATTTACGCTAAGCTAAACTAAAAGATGGACAGCGCACGAGTTGGCCATGACACGTCGACCTCATTCTCCGTTTGGATGCGCTCGCACTTGGTGTCCTCTCCCTTGGCTCTATGCTTCGGCCGGTTGCTGCCTCTCCCTCTCGGCTCTCATCCTTTCGGCCTTGTCTCCTTCGGATTCGTCGGATCCCAACAGTTTTCGCTGTCCAATCGTATTTGTATTTCGTACTATTAATAGTAATGATAGCAACTTGAAGCAATATGATATGAACCGTTCTCGCATGATATAAACCGCTCGTAAGGAATGCAAGGGAGTGCCACATCGTGTAGAAACAACTTGAACGACTCTCGCATGACGACGCACGATATGGACTCCTTCTGCATCGTGTATTCGTCCGGATTTCTTGTCGAGATCGTGCAAGGGTGGTTTCAGCTGGCGGTGCACGATGTGGCACGCTCTCACACGTTCCCACACTGACCAGTTTTCACTGGGAATATTCAGTCCTCGGTGGGCCACTTCTGCAAGCTTTCCATTATGGGATGTTTAGGCTAGAGCTTCCCGTTGACCTAGAGACTGTTGACATATCCGGGGACCGAGTCTCAGCTGTCGATTCTATTTTTGAAGCACCAAGAGGTCAATGTGCTGCAAAGGAGTCAAAGATTGTACCAATATGCTTGAGAGACGTCAAATCATCAGTGCCCTAGTCATCACTGTTCTTATTCATAGCTTCTCCACGTCACATTCCGCATCCATAACATGTGCGATCATCACATAATGCCACGTCTCTCATCACGCAAGACGCATCATATACTGTACTGATGAGGGAAAGGGAGGTCAATCGTATCCTCCATCCGAGTAACCTCGGATCGATCAGCATGTTGCATAGCCCAGTCCATGACATTCTCAAATTTCCTACATGCATGGCGGGTGTTGAAGTTGGGGTAGGCTTGTTTGTGGTCCTTCACCCAGTCCCACGTGATCATCGCAACCTCGGCATGGCACATGATAGACTGCCTGATCAGTTCGATGCAGTCATCTAACGTGGATGCTATGAGCAGGACGTGTGTCGGGTAAGGAGGAAAACTTACCAAGATGCATTCGAACTACCGAGGGGTCCCGCTGCAACCAGGGATCCAACTTGTAATGGTCGGGCCAAGAGGATTTGCGAAGGAAGTTCTACACAATTATCAACAAAACATGACCGGGCTCTACGTGTAGCATAGGCATAATTTACCAGACAACGCATTTGATGATTGACTTCCAACGATGCCATGAAACCTCCACCGCTACTTTGTGGATACTTAACCTTCGCTGGTAAATCTACTTCTCCAGCTTTACGTAGGTCATCAATCGTAACCTGGATTGGTGGCACTGTGATTTCATGGAAGTGAATAACGACCGACAGTACAACATAATAAATTGAATGCCACACCATCGTCAGAAATCCTGTCCCAAGCAGCATCGAGTTCTGGGGAAGGAGGGCCATGATAGTCGGGAGCGTCAAGAGGTCCACTGTGAATACGATAGATAGAAGGAAAAATGATGGTCCCATTGAACCTTGTAATAACAGGCTCAACAGCAACACTTGCTGGAGCTGTAATTGGTCAATATATTGACCACATAGCACCGTGATCTGACTACTCACAGTATATAGCAAGATGAGCAGAAGGCGTGCTCATCCACAGCGTGAAGGAGGACACGGATGTGATTATAAGCGAACCAATGCTTAACCAAGGCCACAGGTGAAGAATGCGAGATTTGAGATGAGGTTTTGCACCGGGCCTGTCTACGTCACCGAAGATTGTCTCCTCATCAGAGGAGTGTAAAGAATCTTTAGACATGCTGGCTCCCGTGGTTAGCAGCTGCGTCTACTTCCTTCTCTGAGCTGAATACCTATGAACGTGTAATCAAGGAATCTGACACGCTTGTCGTTAACTACTACTCACCAAACTAGTTGATCAATAAAATATGTCGCTTCGATCACCTTTTCTGGGAAGGGGATTTGCCTGGATTTGCTGGCAACCCCTCTGAGAATTCTCGGATCACAATATTAATCGAAGACGGCTATGCACTCGGATCAATAACTGGATATGCTCGCTGTGGTGGAGCAGGCCAAATTACCAACTTTCTCACGGCATCGGCATTGCGGGATCCGCAATGTACTGTTATTTGTTATTTTCGTGGCACCTAGTAGTGTACCTAGTGTACTGTGTAGCCGCACTCGTCCATTAACTGATGCGGCCGCGGCGACCCCAAATGATCTAGGTTTTCTCAGACTCTCCTAGAAGCCATTGATTGTCGGAAATTGCAAGCTCGTGGTTTGCAAGACTTCTTTGCTTCTGATCACACCACTCAATTCCCTGGAGGCTACTAGTAGCAAGGTATATTCATCTCTGCTCAAAATTGCGACATGCTGGACTCGCTGAAAGAGTCTAATAGTAATATGACCGCAGTGGCTGTCACTAAACAAACTTTTAATGATACAAACCAGGAGCCCCAGAGCATAGCAAATTTCAATGCATACCGGGCAACCCGAAAACTGATTCTCCCGTCGCATCAACACTGGTGCCTAGGATCTGGTACCGAGATTGACTCCTCGTCATAATGTGTCGAACTGGAAAGTATGCAATGCCAGCTCATTGAGTTCTGATGGCACAGGATAGCGCAAATTTAAACAGGATCTTACTTCTGATCCAATCATTGGCACTTGAAGGTCTCCGAGGTCCACAGGCTGTACGTTGCAAACACTTCAAAGTTTTGTCCTGTGTGTCCGCTCCGAATCCATACCCAACTTTCTTCTTCCGTACCTTATGGCCAAGGAATATTCTGCTCAGTATTCTCCTGTCAACGAAGCCAATGACGAGGATGCAAACCTTCTACATAGGAGTACAGAAACCAGGCCTCATTCAAAGTCTCGCTTCCTTTACGTATCACTGTGGCTTATACATGGGGTGCTGATATCCATAACGCTACTCTTCCTCACGCTATGCGCATGGGCACCTTCGAAGAATGACATACTTCTGTTCTGTAGGTGGACAGACGGTATGACAGAAATACCTTCCTGACCCATCACAGCTCCAGTAAACGAGGCCATTGAATCCAAAGGCATTCTGAGATTCAATGGAAGTTGGGATCGTCCTTCAGCATATCGCGGCAGTCCGTCTCCAGATCTCGAAGCAGCTTGGAACAAAGTAACTGCCGATGGTTGCATATTGTACTTTACTCCTATCGAGGTGATTACTGATTGACGACCTTTTCAGGGCGCCTAATATCTATGACGCTCGAAGAGCTACTCAAAATAGGGGAGGAACCTGCCCCATTCATGGCTAGGTACCCGGAAAAGTATGGTGGGGATTATTTGGCGACAGTGGAGGTCATTCACCAGCTTCATTGCATAGTCAGTTGTAACAAAAGGCTGCTCGATCTTTACTTACCCCTTATAGAACATGGTTCGCCAGTCCAGTTGGGGTGACCATTACACAGCAACTGATTCTGACTTCGTCGAATCACCTGACAGATGGCGCATCCATCTTGGTTAGCATACTGTCACCTCTCTTCCTGCATCCTGCCTGCTAATGTTATACATCAGATCACTGCGTCGAAATGCTCAGACAGATCATCATGTGCCACTCTGATGTAACAATGGTTACTTACGATTGGGTCGAGGGACTCGATGTCCCTTACCCAAACTTCAACATCCCTCATCAATGTAGAGACCTTGAGAAGATCTTGGATTGGGTGGATGGTCATCGTATTTATGTCCCTCAATCCCAGATGATCCGCCAAGAGGACAATGTTGACCTTCCGTTGCCCCCTTAATTGCATTCTCGACCCATAGAGGATCCAGAGGGCATGATTTTACATCATGAATGTAATTATAAAGACGTATAATTTGACTATGAACTGAGTTCCATAGTACTTATAAACTGTCGCACAAGAAACTCCCTCTGTTGACAACGGGTGTGAAGAATATTTATGTCCGCTGATGCTAGTTATGCGCAGCCACATAGAGTTTCACTCTCAATGGACCAAAATCGGATACAAAAAGGTATGCATTGATATCTAGCTGTACTAGTATTCCTATCCCCAGTACCAGAGAGAACTTGGATACATGATCCTTTAGGTAACAACTTCGATGACGTACCCTTGTCAGGAGAACGAACGAATTGACCCGCTCTGCATATTGTTTAACAGCTGGATTCAATTCTTATTTCATTCTCCCATTTTATTTTTTCAATTTGCTGTCACTCCGAGAATTAAACTGCACGCAAAATGTCCACCCCGTCGGAGGTTCAAATCACCGCCGCGGGCCGTGTCTGGCACTGGTCGGCGTGATTGGCTTGCCAAAGTTCGAACGTTCAATATGATACAGCTTCATCATACTACAGTACGGATAAACAGAGTCATTCATTTGATGCATGACCGATGGAGTAACACGCTGGCGAGTGCCCATAGAGGGTATTGTTATGCTGACGGGTGTGTTTTGCAGGTTCCAGGCCAGCGGACTGGCTGTGTGATTAGACTCGCAATGACTCTGTGTTTTACATAATTTCGGCCGTAGGCACATTCGTGGTTAGTAGGCTGGTCACGATGTGTCGATTTTTGGAAGGAAAGTGGCGCCGAATTTATTGCCACGTAGTGTAGTGCAGTTGCGTTGTACGCTGCGGCGGCGCCGATCAGAGAACCGGGATATTTTTTGTCATACTCATCGTCATTTATCGAAAGGATTTCGTTAGACTATCATGATGTAACCGCAATATTTAGCATAATCGCCAGCATTCTCTTACGCGGTCCGAATCTCGCTCACCCACAGTCAGAAGAACAGAGATCTACTAACAACTGCTAACAACCACTAAAACGTTCTTCCCAAAAATATTCACACATTGTAACACTCCACGTAAGTAGACGAGAACTCGCTCAGACACCTTGCGCTCAGGCTACCATAGGCTATTACTCCTAACATCGCGCCTAGTAAAGGAACGGCGGACTGGTGAGGGAGGGCATTTGCGACTTCAGGTACACAGTGGTCCCTAGATTCAGCATAAACTTTCCAATTATCTCTTAATGGATATGAAAAGGTATGCATTGTATACTCACAGGGTATGACAAGACAGCCATAATAATGATAGTAGGCCTGGGTCCACTGCTTCGGTATGCGGCAAGAAAATGATATGTATACAAAAGACGTGGCGAGCTGGAGTGGAGCACCAATAGCACTCTGTTCCCAGGCAGCTGGTACCCTATCTCATCACGAGAATGTATGATCTCATGACGTGATCCAAGATTTGAGGCGTGCATTGCATGCGTGATCAAGTATCTACATACGCGTGACAGCCCAAAAGATTGTGTCACTCACCAGATTACCCGTGAGACGGCACTCTATATAGTTTCAGTCGTCATTGACAAGTCATGGGTTGGCAACCCACTGGCACGAGGCAGCGTATGTTTCATTAATTGAAATCCAAGTTGTTCACAGCAGAAACCCATTTTCAGAGTTTTTGATTTAATATACGTTCGGGAACGTGCCAGTGGGCCAGCCTGAGGTCCTGTGCGGGCTATACTATATGACTGCCCTGAACATTCGTACTGCACAAATGATAGACGACTCGGAGTGACGTAGTACGCCGAGCCGCTCAATATCATTATGAATTACAAGTCTTGCTAATTCGGCCCTTGGTATAATTTAATGATACCAGTTACTACTTCTGCTTGTAACACGCTCATTGCACCGGATCCTCATGGCAACACCATGGCTCGCAAAATTATGTGAATCAGTGATGAGTCCCACCTACACCCAAGGGGTACTAACAACGGCAAGCAAGTTGTGCATAATGTTCCCCATCTATCTTTCTGGCTGATTGCAGTTCCGATCCGTCTAGCTCATGTCTAGCTCCATAAGTGTCACAAAGCACGTCATGTGTTGACTTCTACACCGATACCAATTTAATCAACAATCAAAGGGCAGGATACATCCCGATAAATTAGTTGAATATGGTGCCACGTAGTATTCTACCAAGGTTTGACTGGATAAGCGAACCTACGACAAGGTATAAGAAGGTCCCCTGAATTGAGAGGTATGCACCAACGAAGCTCTAAACTTTACTCTTCTCAACTTCAAACATGCAGCGTTCTCTCCTGCTTAGTGCACTGGCCTCCATGGTGGCTCTTGCGGTCGCATACCCCATGTCAGGGATTGCGGGACAGTCCTGCAAGTATTCGTGACATCAGTAGTATCATAGTTATTAACATAACATGCAGCCGTAGCAAAGCGCGGGGATGAGGCCCGTGGCGTACACTTACCGATTAACAAGAAGCGCTGCAAGTATTGATGACCGTCAGTTAATACGACGATGCTGACATACCTATTTAGCGGAGGACGACGCTCTCGGTGTCTACTTCCCGATTAGCTACGACGAGAAGGAGAAGCGCTGCAAGTATTCATGGCCGTCAGTTAGCACCACAATGCTGACACACCTATTTAGCTGAGGACGACACCCTCGGTGTCTACTTCCCGATTAGCTACGACGAGAAGGAGAAGCGCTGCAAGTATTCATGGCCGTCAGTTAACACCACAATGCTGACACACCTATTTAGCTGAGGACGACACCCTCGGTGTCTACTTCCCGATTAGCTACGACGAGAAGGAGAAGCGCTGCAAGTATTCATGGCCGTCAGTTAACACCACAATGCTGACACACCTATTTAGCTGAGGACGACACCCTCGGTGTCTACTTCCCGATTAGCTACGACGAGAAGGAGAAGCGCTGCAAGTATTCATGACCATCAGTTAGCACCACGATGCTAATATCGACATGTCTATTTAGCTGAGGACGACACCCTCGGTGTCTACTTCCCGATTAGCTACGACGAGAAGGAGAAGCGCTGCAAGTATTCATGGCCGTCAGTTAACACCACAATGCTGACACACCTATTTAGCTGAGGACGACGCTCTCGGAGTCTACTTCCCTATTAGCTATGACGAAAAACAATAAATCCGCCTTGGAAACTTGGAGACGCAATGCTAAAGTTAGGGAGAACTGGAAGGTATTCACTATTGTTGATCAAAAGTGGGGCTACTTTTAGTTTTAGCAGCTATTGAGAATATTTATTGCGTTGAGCATCATGTATCATGATAGAAGGAAGTGAATCGCCATGAGATTGCGTCACCTTGTAATATAAGGTCACTATCGTATCACCCTATAATTGTCCTTTTTCAAAAACCAAATTTACTTCGAAGACCCTATGTCAGACACTTGACCTGAAGCTTGAAGCGTGGCCAAAAATTGGCGGTGTGGAGTTTGAGGGTGGCCAGCACACAGCCGCAGTCGTACGTGTCGCTTCGATTCGAGGGGAGATTCAAAGCAGGGAGAGGGGGTCACCGTTGCTGCGAAGGAGTTAAGGACTGCAGGCTAGTCTGTAACTATATAGCGATACGCTTGAGCGGTGAAATCAATGGTTATTGAACTATAAATCCGCTAATTATTACGGTTGTGCCAAGTGCTGGCAGGCTGGCACTAGAGGAAGAGCAGTGCAAGTATGGAAGGGAATGATTGATGAGTAACTCAGCTTACGGTGGCTTCTTCTAGCAACGTACATCGGCTCGCGAGTGGTTGTTTGAAACCTCAATTGAGCTCCCCAGTGGTCAGACAAGAAATTTGAAAGTCATCAACCTTGGTCCTACAAATATTCGAGATAATTACTAATGATATGAAAGAAAGCCCTTGCGGATAGAACTGTTCCAGTACATAGTACATACCGTGACGGAGCAAGAAACGATACCAAGGCGCGCAAGCGCATCGTGCCACCAGAAAATACGTAAACCTGGCGGACCGCTGGAGGTCCGCTTAGCTTGATAGTCCCGACCCATTGGATGGATGCCAGCCAGTCCCCACCAAACTATTACTAGTACTTCCAGGAAGCTTCGGCAGTTTCGGCGATTTCATCGTTTTGGTGTCCCACACTTTTAGACAACACGGCTCTCCGAAGGCGACCCTGACTGCATGGCATGCACATAAATAACGTCTCTGCGCTGGCTTTCCAACCATGATAACTAGCCTCGTATCTCTGCGAGTTCAGCAACTTGTCTTCACTTCTTCCACGTTAAGTCTGAAGCTTACACGCACCATGACGACGAAGCTACATGTTATTGCAGAGACAGGATTCGGCACTGGGACGAATGAACTGTATGATCGGTGAGTTGACTTCGGTCCGCGTGATCCACATGCACTAATTCATGAGCTGTGTATAGGGCTCGCCCTTCGTACCAAACTGAGTGTCTTTCGTACATGCGCCAGGTATCCAAGAGCACGGCACCTTTGAATATTGTCGAGTGAGTCACACGCATTACTTTTGCTTCTTCTTGTCAATTGGCTTTCAGAATTGGGGCAGGGACAGGTATCTTCACCCGTGCCTTGTTGGCTCACCCTGAGTGGGCCACGAGCATTGGTACGCTGAGAGCTATCGAACCTAGCGACGGCATGCGTGATGTGTGGAGGCAAACTGTCGATGATAGTCGTAGCTCTATTGTCAAAGGGACATTTGATGACACTGGCGTGGAAGACGGGTGGGCAGACCTTATCATTATTGCACAGGTAAGTAGTATTGTAAAGGCTGAATCAGGTAGGTGTAGGTGTTTACCCATCGGACATATAGGCATTCCATTGGTGCCCCGATTATGGGAAAGCGTCAGCTGAATTCAGCCGTATCTTGAAGAAGGACGGCGCAGTCGTGTTTATCTGGAACCTTGAAGACAGGTTTGCTTATCTGATTTTTTTTGTATCAAATTGTCTGACAGCATTGAAGAGACGGTGCAGGTTGGGTTGCACAACTCCGTGACTGCATCGAGGCTCATGAGAAAGGGACGCCCCAATTCCGCCTCGGACTCTGGAGGAAGACTTTCTCTACACCTGAGTATACCTCCTTGTTCCATCCTCAGGAGGAGGCAGAATGGGCATATCATCTTCTTGCTAGCGAACAAATTGTTACGGATCGCGCTCAGAGTAAGAGCTACATTGCCGTGCTCCCTCCAGACGAAAAGGCTAAGGTACTGGAGAACGTCAGAGGTATCCTCGAGCGGGGAGATGGTAGAGTTTGGATTAACAAGGAGGAGGGCACGTATCAATATCCATACAAGACTTACATAGTGGTATCTAGAAAGAAGTAGACCTAGAGGAAACAATCGAGTAGTCGTAACTGCGAGCTACTAGAATACATGTCATATACAGAATCATCTTACATTCTCAGCTCGTGACACGGGGCTGCCGTGGCAGCGTACATCAGATCTCTCAGTTGAGATCGATCGAGCTATCCTCCACAAGCCTGACAGCTTCTTCCAAAGCATCATCTAAGTCAGTCAGCCATGCCCACTCCCAATTTTTGGTGATCGCATCACCGAGCTCGTGCAAAGGGACGTCCTCTTGAAACGCGCATAGTTGCCCCCCACGCATCGAGCGCAATGCCACTTCTGATGAGAATGGCCTTCTCAACTTGTCGTATATGGCGAGGGCCCTAGGTACCGTTTCTAGGGTTGTGGATTTATGACCAAGGACGGTCATGAGCAAGTAAGCATCCTATCAAATCAAATCAGCACGTGTAAATTTCTCGGAGTGCAGTCGTGCATAACCGACCTCGATGCCCTGGCCAGCACCAGAGCCTTGGAACGGCGTCATTGCATGTGCGGCATCTCCCATGATCGCAACTCGCCTGAAATTAGTGGATGGTAAAGTTTTCACAGTGTGTACAGCCCAAAGCGTGCCCTTTTCCACACACTGGAAATCGTCAGTGATGAACAGTAACTCAGATACGAACGACAGACCTCGAGAAGGTGCTGTGCATCCTCTTCCAAGTCTTTGAAAGGCTCAACAAACTGCTGAGCAGTGAGTTCACTAACCCACTCATCGTTTGTCTTCCCTTTAAAAGACGGACGAGGGATTTCTGTGTCAGCTTTATACGCCAAGTCAACGACATCGCGTTCAAGCGTGAAACCCGCAAAATTGACATATTGGCCAAGAGAAATAGGGTATGCAAGAAAGTACTACAATACATCAGCATCAGCACAGTGCAAACCGTAGATTAAAGAGTCTCACAGCATCTTTTCCCATGTACTGTGAATGAAGGTGCCTCGTCAAATTAATGGTATGAAATACAACAAGAATCAAGCTTACCTGAGTAAACTCCCTCAAGGTACGGTGATCAGGACAACGCGCGCGCAGCTTCTCTGCGGAAACGAGTGTTCTGTACGCAGCAACACCGCTCCAGATTGGGCTCATGCAAGAGAGCACAGATTGCTTTTCATCGGGATCCAGGCCCTCAGCCAATTCTCGCAACATGCAGGGCCGGACTGCGGATTTGATCCCGTCGGCACCAATTAAAACATCGCACGTAGCAGTTGATCCATCCGTGAATGTTAGCGTAATTGGTGAATTTCTCGGACTGCCTTCCAAAGGCTGGGTGTATGATATCAGTCGCTTGGCGTTGTGCGTTGCGCAGGACGGTGGAAGAAATGAGAGTAGTACGCCATGGAAGTCGGCTCGATGGAAACGCATAAGTTTGCCTGTTCTACCAACGGTGTTCAGAGTGTGATGCATTTGAATGCAGAGGAAAGTTGACCTTTCGTCATCAGATCAAACAACTCAATGCCGACAGCTTGATTGCTTTTACGGCTCCTAACAGCTGGGACTGAACTTCTCTCAGCGGATTTAAACATGTATCGTATACGATTTCCACTGACCATATTCTTCTGTGTATTCGTAACCGCAGCGTTGAAGCAGTTGCTGTTCGAAGTCGGGTCCAAATTTTCGTAAGACCTGGACGATTGTCTGGGGTTAGCATGCCGTCGCTTTTCCAAGGTCCGCACCCTGAATGCCCTGGGCCAGACACCAACACCAGCCCCGATCTCACAAAAGCTCTGCGCGGCTTCATACACATCGACGGCAATATCCTGGTAGCGGGACAAAGCAACAGCTAATGTCAGACCGCCTACCCCTCCTCCGCTAAAATAGTATTGTGATGAATTGGACTGCGGCCACAAGCTGAAGACACCTTACCAGATAGCAATCCTAAATTTTGGGTTAGACATTCAACTTGTATCTGGAGAACCGTGGTTCGATAAGTCCCAACGGTTGTTATATGTGCTGTCGTTCCTGTGGCCAGGCCGCCGCTGGGTGCGCATTCAGACATGCAATATAGCTTTCTTGAGTACTAGTATGTCCGATTGAACGGTGTCCGTAGTACGTCATCAGGAGCCACCCGGATCAGAGCGAAGCTTCACTTAGTACACCGTTGAAATCTGCGTGAAAACAACATAAAACCCTACGAAAGCCTATCAAAGATGTGACAATAATGTCTTGAATATAGTGTTGATGTCGGTCGAATAAGCAGCCTGTTATGGCCAGGCGTTTGCGTCGAAGTCACGCTGAAACATATAGCCAGCCTATGGTGCTGTTCACTTATGTGCCGCTACATTTGTGCAAACTTTCTGCCGCTGCGAGAACAAGTCCCAGAAACTTTCTGTCTTGTAAAAACACTTAGATTAATGATAGGAACATATTGTCAAGAGCGATTTTGCATAGCATTAAATTTGAGCGAGATAAATTTTCGGACATGACCCAAATTGGCGGTGACCGGTAAAATCAGTCGAAAAGACATGCTACAGTCTCCAGAACACGTCTATGAGACTTGTACTTCCTTGAGCTGAACTCCTTGACCTGCAACTGTGCTTTTTTCGTCTCCAGACCTGACCGATAAGCATCCATCCACCTGTGCATCCGATGCTCCATAACCGGATTGTGCTGAGACGTACAGAAGCCATAGCTTTCGGCAAGTTGGTTTTGAGTGTTGCGCAGCCTCGCTGGATATAACTGGAGCAGTAGCAGTATACAGTTGAGCTTGTCGGGCGAGTCTTGCACGAGCGGCTGCCTCTTTATGGTACTTTCGGGCCATTGAATGAAGATTGAAATATAAAACTTTCGTCTGTACATAGTATACTAATGTCTCGCAACTCACAAAACGACGTTGATGCCTGGTATACTAACATCGAAGCTGCGCCTGCCATTTTGAGCAATGGGTTAGGGTTGGAACTTTTTGGCCATCGATTTGGCGGTTGCCCCAAAGTAGCGGCGCATAAGTGAACAGCACCATAGATAACCCTGATTGAACCCTGCAGACTTCTTATTTAGGAAAACCATAAATATTACATAATGGATCCAATTGTAAAGGTGTCCTGACTAGTCGACTTCTGAATCCCCATGCGCTCGTGGACCCGACCTGCTCTTCGGTTCCTTTCAACATCCTCTCTCAACCTGGAGGCTCTCGATGCCTGGATAGCATCCCCGAAATCACTTGCGCTCACCGATGCCTTTCATTCTAGTCACCTTTCAGATCTCTACATCACTCTTCCCACTCGCGACGGCACGCGTGGTCGTCCGTTTGCACACCCTATAGAAGGTACACCTCTCGGATATGGACACCACCTTGCCTTCTTCCACCCGCGTAATCCTGAGACATTACTGCGTACCGATGGGACAGACGCCGACTTCTGTCCGCCTGAACCATTCACACGCCGGATGTGGGCGGGTGGAACCATGACATGGAACAAGGAAAGAAAATTGAAAGTAGGAGAGAAAGCAACTGCAGTGTCTACTGTGGCCAAGGTCGAGAAGAAAGGATTTGAGGTCGGGAAGCCGATGATATTCGTCAAACAGAGAATTGAAGTGACTGTGGAAGGACAAGGCGAACCTGGGATGGTGGAGGAACGAGCGCATGTCTACCAACCATTTGTAGCTAGTATAGGGAGCCGCGTACCCCGTCAAGGCTAGTCCTCGAAACAACCTGTGATTTATCTGGGTGCTGATGTGGACATATCTAATTAGTGACCGATCTCCCAAAGTCTGAGTTTTCGTTGTCGTACACTCCGACCCTGACGACGCTATTCCGTTTTTCTGCCCTCACATTCAACGGGCATCACATACACTTGGACAAGGATTATGCGCAGAAAGTCGAAGGATATCCAGGTGAGTTCGAGCTTTACTTCCCAACTGATACCATCTAACCCCTGTCACTAGAAAGACTCGTTCATGGGCCCCTGACAGCCCTTATGCTTCTAGAGTGTCTCATTTACCACCGACCAAGGGCCAAATTGCGCACCTTCAGCTATCGCGCACACAATCCAATTTTTGTGAATCGTGCCGTAACGATACATGGTGCTATTGTGGCAAAAGACAAAGCGGAATTGTGGTGCGAAAACGATGAAGGGGTTGTCGGCATGACTGGCGTTATTCAGTTCGACGAATAGATCTGCGACATCGTCGTGTCAAACCTCTGTTCGTAGCCTTCTCGGGCATATCGACAACGTCAGACTCGTACAACGCCAACGATGATAGCTGTTTGTGTAGGCAATGACGTTGGCATAGAAGTTCAGATGATGTCGGATGAGCAATGTGTTTATGTTGGCTCGATGTTACATACTCTTGCACTACGGACGCAATCACATATAACGCATGCATGCATAACTGACGACGATAAGAAACTACTGAAGGACATCTCATGCCTCCCGTAGTGCGTACCTGAAGCAAGTAAGCATGATAATATGGTAGTCCAGCCAGAGTAAACGTACATTTTCACAGGGTATAGTCCTTTGGGAAGCCCGTGTTGAATTTTCTCTTCAATGATTTTGAGACCAGCATCCCGGAAAATATTTCTGAATGCGAGATCTGACCTATGAAGCAAAGTCAAGGTTTTGTAATACATAATCACTTCTTACAAACCGAGTGAAGGTAGAGTCTTGCTCGTCAAAAACAGTCACCGGCTCATTTTGCTTGCCGCATATATTCTCCTTCACTACGATGAGACTCCTCGCATCACGTAGAGCCTTCTTGCTCCTCTGAAGGAACTGCACAAGATCATCATCTCTCAAGTGACCGAGGCACCATTGGCACCATATCACATCGAATCCCGTTTCCGTTTCGTCATCACCACCTTGCGGCAGATAACCGACACGATCCAGAGGTGTCCCTGGTACGACCGGGTCAAAAGATTGCAAGGCACCTTGCAAGAATGTGACACTCTTCGATCGATCAGCGATACCCTTCCATGAAATCCTATATCCGCTGTCGTTGATTTCTAAACCGGATTCGCTGGCTTTTCCACGTGATCGGGCTTCGTTGATGAAAGGCTCTACAGGCTCAAGCAGGACAACATCCGAGACAAGATGAAGGAGGACGTCTGATGTGACACGCCCGACACCTGCACCAACGTCAAGAGCTCTCACACGCTTAGTTTCGGATGGAGGGGCGGAGAGATTGCGAAACGGTGATGGGACTGTGGATAATTCAGGAAGGAGGTCGAGGAGGAAACGACGTGATCCAAGAGAATCGACACGAGGAAGTGACTGTCACAAATACTTCAGTACAAAAGTTCGTCGGTGAGGATTGATCAGAGTCACCCCCGTTCCAAATCCACCTGGATGTGATGTTAGCCGATGTTCGATGGCAAAACGGCTAACAATGAAGCAGACCAAGCACGCCGTCGTAGTTTGCGGGCTGAGTGGCCCAGTATTGAATACCTGCTTCAAGGTTTGGAATTGGATTGGTCGAAGACATCGTTTATCGTTACTGTGATCATGATGCACTGATCCAAGATCTGTTTATCAAGACTTAGGTCACGTGATTCCAGCTAGACTATCGTCAATCCATTCTGCCCTAGCGAAGCCTTTATAGATAGGCGGTCCTTCTATCAAAGAGTATATCTACAGTGGTTGGAGTTGGAGGAACGGATGAACGTGATCATCAAAGAAGCTCGGCTATTGTGTTCAACGACAAGATTATAATATGGCATTTGCTCACTACGCGTATATATCATCAAAGTCTTCGTCATTTGTCCCGAGAGATATGTTAGCGCTCTCTGCCGAAGGCGTACTCAACACAGGAAGTTGTTTCGATGCTGTGTACTCTTCTCTCTCCAATTCCCGCACCATATCCCACATCTCTTCATCCTGGCTATCGACTACGAGGCTCGATTTACTACTCTCCGGAGGTGGAGTAGGGTTGGGGATTGAGTCATCAAATATTTCAAGGTCATTCCACATCGCCTCTTCGTCGATGTCCATCCCATCTGCAACTTCGGGTGGCAAAACTTTGTATTTGGCTTTTGGTGCGGGAGGTTCAGGTGAAACCGAACGTTGTGCTCTAAAGGCAGCGAGGCGTTTCTCCTCTTCTCTAACGACAGCATCGATATCAAAGTCGTCATCTTCAGCCTCTGACGATGAGGGTAGAAGGGACGGGGCATGCAAAGAGGACGAATCATCATTCATGTCTGCATCCTCAAGATTTGGATCGGTGAGGTCGATGACATCGTCGCCACCATTTTCTCCTGGTTCCTTGCCATTGACAAGGCCTTTCGCCTCATCACGCCATACACTTAGTCGGACCTTCATTGACGTGTGATTGTGATATGCGAATGTGATCAATATTCGGTCGTACCTGCATTCGTTTTGAGTGACATAATTTTTCGACGCGCTCAATGGTGTCCTTGAACGGAGTCTTGGGATATAATCTATGAGACCAAAACTGGTACACTTGGAGAATGCGCTGGAGGTCTGAGTGCTAAACAGATATTTGGATATCTGCATCAGAGCACAGGTACGCTGTCAGTGTAACTCACCTCATGACCTTTCCCTTTGACTTTAAAGTCCTTGATATTTTGAATGAGCTGTGGAAATCCCGATGCTCCAATTAAACTTGTTTCATCGAGTAATACAACCTTCTTTCTCTCTTTTTTCCCTTCTTTTCCTTTTCCCTTTTCCTTTTCCCCCTCATCGTCTTCGTCGGGGCCTAAATCTCTTGGTGGAGAACTGCTAGGCAAGATTTGATGGGGTGTCAGCGCGTGTTTTGCTTCGGCCTGTTTGCGGAGTGCCTCAAGGTCAAGGGCAGGTGCAAGGGGCTTATATCTCAGGTCATCCTCCTCCCCTACGTCATCATTATCGATGTCGGCGAAGAGCGCATCTACGTCTGGTCTTGGTGCCGAGCTAGTAGGTCTCTTCGGCGCTGGTCGGTCGTCCTCATTGTCTGAGTCAGAAAGAAATAGTGTCTCTCTTGGGCGCTTCTGAGAGTTAACTGTATCAGAATGTGGCGTAATAGCGTGAGTGGGGGAAACTGGCGCGTCCCAGATGTCGTCGAGAGACATGATTAATGTTCTGGTGCAAGGACGCGTTATTTTGATTTATTTATCTCACGCGCGTTGTTCTTCCGATTTCCACGGTTTACTGCAGTGAAAGCTCAGATTCTTCCGCTTCCCAAGCTTGCAGCCGTGATGCATGAAAGCCCACAGCTCTCTCTTCCGAATTCACCACCTAAACTGTGCCTTCTTCTGAAACCGCCGCATGCTTCCAAGCCTCATTCCTCAACCAAACGATAGTTCAAGGATAATCGTTTCGTGCTGGAGCTCGAATACGTGATGATTTATCCATGGGCATTGGGTAGGGCAAGTTGCTGCCACAGTCTTAGACCATATAGCATATCAAATGACGATTACGAGGGTTCAACGTTCGAACGTTCAATAACCACACCATTTGGGAAGGTCAGCGTTGAAAACTAGCACCCGAAAACGTCGGTTGATCTATCACATCGTATCACCTACTGCGACAGCGTCTCGCAATTTTGTCAAGTGGGGTCTGCGCACAGATTTTTCGAGCACAATCCACAACATTGTTTTACGTCCGCATGACGAATCATGTACGCACGACAGAATTTGGAAATCGTCGTCAAATATTGTTTCTGCCGCAACCACTAGGGCGCGTCCAGACTCCAGATCATCAGGTGGCTATTGAGTGCGGGGAACTTGCAAAATAGTAGGCACGAAAAGTGAGGTCACAGTTCAGTGACATTCCGCAAAACGAGAGCAACAAGTGATCTATCGGACCCTAACCACACCGGGTAACCGTTTTCCTCCACGAATCCATCAGCATTCGCCATGGACGATATTATAGCCATCTGGATGGAAGAGAGGGGTGGAAAGGAGAAAGCCAGGAATAGACTGGGGCCTACATTGACACCTTGGCGCAAACGTCTGCGTTCAACGTTGAACAACTTACGAGTCACTGAAGTAGGCGATTGCGAGACATCCCTTTGAAACCCATAGTGCATACACTTCCCGTTAATCGGAAAGTGAGAACGTCCAGGAAATGGACAGTTTGTGGGCAAGTCTGTCACAGACTCTGGGTCCGAGTCCGGGGCCTGTCAGCCGTTCGGTTGAGGATACAGTGAAACACGCATGTGAGTGAGTATAATTCCTTCTCGATTCTTTCGTATCATTGCAGTATAGCTCATGTGTTTTCAGGGGTTTTCTTCCAAAGCTGCCCAGTCGTTTGTCTCGCCTCCTCGATTAGGGACAATGACATCCTTGCAACGAGCCTCGTGATATGAAACGCTGTCTCCGTTATTACGATACCCTCTATTATCCACAATTTAATCTTGCATTTCTTGAAGCATCCGAACGCTTTTGCACATGGTTGAAGACTTCGCTTGAATCTCATCCTTTGTGTTACTCGAAGTGTCACTGGTCGAACTTTCATGGTTGTGTTTCATACGACGGTGTTTGTATCACTATGCCACCAGCAAATATCATGGCACCAGGTGAATCTGCCGATGCAGGTTACCATTATTGTATTGTCTTGCACAAGCTTTCCTCTTGTGCAGCTCTCTGTTGAGAAGTGTCTGCCTTCGAGACTCGTAGTTCTACTACAGTGAGACCAACATTTATTGGGATAGTGTCTTACTAGTTGAGTGTGTTTCCTGTCTCTGTTTTGTGAGGTCCAGGAAAAACAAAAAAGCATTGTGTGCGCGCAGTGCTATATCGTTTCATCGTTACCCGACTATGAGTAATGCATTCGAGTAGCTTCAAGTTGTGGTTGTTTTTCTTGGTGGCTTCTTTGTCTTGGGTCGAAACTGCATAAGCGTCCTAGGTTGTTGTCTTACAAATATTTGCGAATCATGGTGTTCTCTTGCGGAGTCGGCGAGCGTCACTACGATGGCATACGATGATGTGAACTACTCTACATCTGGTGGTGCCCAGAGTACACAACGCCCACTTGCGTTTCCTGTTGCACATCTTTCGACAATGCTGGGGTGGGAGCATGTTACAGCTTGTGTAGCAGTGAGCCTGAGAAAACGAAGTTAGTTATGGCCACCCAGGACTCAGATTACTGACCGACTGTCTTTGAGTCTTGCAATCAAGTGTCCCTAAAATAAAAAAAATGTCAGAGCCAGTTAAAGGGGTCCAGCTAATGTGTGGATGAGTACCTTGCACGAATATATGTCCAGAGCGTAGCTCATATTCCCAATCTACGGTGCCACCAGTCAGACGATAGGCTGCGCCCAGTTGCAACAAATTACTGACTGTGAAGTGGGGGAATACATCTGGGTTGGGATTCCAGACCGCACGAAGAATAGTTACCCATTTGCCCTGGAAAGCGTCAATAAAGGAGAACGGAGTACGATGACAAGGCTGGTCTTTACTGTCTGGCAGTTGTGTTTTATCCCGCGGAACGGCGTGAAGGAGGGGAAACCGGGTGACGAATTGTACTTCGCGACATCCAAATCCCACACTGTAAAACGGTCAGTTTGTCTTGACGCACGCAAATATATCACCCACGTCTGATTGAATCGTCGTAGCTCGTACTGACGATACTTCTCCCTCTCGGGTCCCAGTATGCTGAGCTCACCGACTTTCCATGTTGGAATATACCGCGAACAGTGCCCTTTCCCTTCTTTGAATAGACTAAGTCTTCGACAGTGTATTGGCTGAGTTGATATGGGCCAGTCGCGGAGGTCAATTTCTGCAGCTTCCTGCTGTCCCACACCCTTAGAAACCCATTGCTGAGAAAAGAAGACAAGGGCATAGATGATAATTATGTCTTACTTCAATACACGACTGTTCGAAGCCGTAAGCAAGAAATGTGGATTTGTCGGGTTGATGCTAACGGTGCCAATTTTCGCAGGTGAGAGACCATACCAACAGGCTTTGTCTTTGGGTTCCCGAAGATCAAGGTGGGTGATGCCGCCGGAAGCGTCAGATATCCACATTTCGTGGCCACTAACTGGAAGATCCACACTTGTGATGAGGTATTCTGAAGAGAATATCTCTTGCGAAATCCCCGAGACAAAAGAAAAATGGCGTATTGTGCGATCGTATGAGGTCGTAAATAGCTATAAAAGGCTCTTAGTGCAGCCATTCCATGAAAAAGTTGTGTCCTCACACTATGCGCATCAACTGGGTCGAATTTTATAGATGATATTGACGATGTTGAAGAAGCTGGCCAGTGACACTGGAGGCGCCAATGTTTCCCGCCTTCTCTATGGTCCGCGGAGATGTCACCGTCTTCATCTTCGACCTCATCTACGGGAGCTCTGGCATCCCATATTCCAATTTGACCGTGTTTGTCTACATGCATGTTAGCGACTTGCCAATAACTTGATCACGGTACCTTACCCCCAAAGAATACTAGATCCTTAGTAGCATCGGGGTGGTAGGCAGCGCTGTAGACTCTGTCTGCGGTCACTTTGGCGCGAGACACTATCCTCAGTTTCTGAAGTTTATTTCTCAA